CCCTTGGATTTTTATAAGAAAAAACTTAGATTTTTTAGGAGAGGAGGTCGGCCATCCATCAAACTTTACAACCCATCGCCGCCACTGCCTATTGCCGCCACCGCCGGCCACCTTTACTTTGTTTATTTTATTTTTTTTAGAGTGTTAGTTTGTATTGTGAGAGAAGGAACTTCAAGACATTTGGTGAAGAGAATTTGAGATAAGTGTTTATCTTTGTATTCACACTTGGTTTTAATTTAGATTTCTTGTTTGTGTGTATGATTTCTCTTTTTAAACTCATGTGTGGTTGTGTTTTGTCCATGAATTCTGAGTAATTTTATTTATTTTTTTCCTTAAAATGATTAGTGATTAAATACCTAAAGGAAGTGTGAAATATTAGACTTCAATGTTGGAAGAAGTTGTGATGATTTGAAACCTTGCACTTCATTTACTTCTTTATTTGACCAATTAAGATGTTAATATCTATTGTGAGAACATGTAAGATCCGAGATGGTATTGTCTCGGTCAACAAATGGTTGGAATCACATATTGATTTCATGAATGAGAATGCAGTTCAAAGGGTTGACAAATAAATAGGGAAATATATTTTAAAGGGTATAGAATTAGAGACTTTAAAGTCACAAGCTAAAGCCCCCAATATGATATATAGTTTTAGGTTTTGATACGAGCTGTTAGCCCCTAGGTGGAGGGAGAAGAGAGAACTCTAAAGTGAGAGCTAGTATTTTCTCTGCCTAGCCGGTCTTCAAGACTATTCAAACTATGAATTAGTCAATGTTCTTTATAGCATCTCTAGTAAGAGTAACAAATATTATTGTTCCTATTTGACATAACACATTTAACATACTCTCACAACAAAATTTCTATATTTATCACTGATTCATGATAAGGAAAAATATATTTTATTAATATTGTCTTCATCTTGCAAGTATTCTTCAATATTTTATTAATATTGTCTTCATCTTGCAAGTATTTTAATTAAGTTAATTAGATGCTTACTTTACTTTCAATTATCAAAAATTTCAAAAAAGAATCTTACTTTCATTCCTATTTTAGCATCTTAAGTTTAAGTAAGAATAAATTGCTAAGTAAAATTTTGTTATCTAAAATTTGTCCTCCCTGTGAGATCGATATTCGAGACTTAATTAGAAAGTTATATATTACTTGATAACTATACATATACTTGCGTAGTATCCCATATTGAAATATTATAACTGCATTTTTATTTGCTTCATAGTGAAAAATTTACCTAGTTTTTGCTTTTGATAAAGTTTTTTGCTATGTTGCAAATTAAGAATAACTATTAAGGAAATTAATCATATAATTGCATACATCGCATTTTACATCTATATATATAGAAAGTCGGGATCATTAGTCAAGTCTGCAAATACATGTCTAAACCAGGAAGACGAGAGTGTGTTTGTTTTCTCTTGGGGGAAGGGAGTGTGTTTGTTTGTTTTTTTTTTATAAAGAAAATTTTATGGAAATTATAGTAACATTGGTGTCTTTTTTTGGTAAAATCGATGTTCCGGACGCGCTCGTGCGTTTTGTTTTTGTCATCTGAGGCTGTCCGGATGAATTCGTCAATTGATGGGCCAAATTAAGTTAGTTTCACGCGTGACACGTTGAACGATGTTCATTGATCTAATCATAAATATTCGACGGTGAATGAACACTCAAAATGCATCTCAAGCAAGTGATATTGACTTTGCAAGATGTTATGCAAGATGTTATGCAAGACATATAACGTAAGAGGTTTTGTGTTTGGTCGTGTAGAGTATAAGAAGCCACTGAGGAGAATTACACCTTGCCTCAATAACGACCAGACACACATGCAAATGACAAGCATATATAAGGTAATATGCACCATTTAAGCAAGCATACAAAATGATGCAATTGCGCAATATATATTATGCAAGTGATCGGTTAACTGAGCTAGAGCGACCGGACGGACCAAAGTGGTCGGTGAACCGAGCTGAGGCGGCCTGTCGGCCCAAGTGATCGGTGACGAGACACCTATTGGCATGATGTATGAAAGTGAGAGATATGTGTGTGAGAAACACAAATCCAAGTGCAACACATGTAAATTCACATGTCATGAAACATTCAAAATGCAATGCATAACAAACATGCAGAAATGCACAAGTGTAAGTGTGAACCACTTATGACGTGGTGCTAAGTGACATGAAGATGCCACGAAGCAAGTGTGTAGTAATGTGTTGTTGGGAGGCACGAGAAGTCGTCGCGAGCATATAAGATTATATGCTCAAAGATGCACGACAATGGTGTCAGTGGTGAATATGCTAATGTAAATCATGCAAAACTAATATTATGCAAGTAGAATCAGTTGTCTGGCCTACTGGGTCAACCGAGGTGGTCAACCCAGGGTAACATAGCCAACGGGCTCAGTCAGGCTAAAGCGGCTGATTGGACATAAGTAATTGGTCAACCAGGCCGGGGTGGGCAATCAGACTTAAGTGGTAAGTCGATCGGGTCGTAGAGTCCGGTCGAACATGATCAGTTGATTGAGCCAAGGCAGGCGGTCAAACCCAAGTGATTGGTCGATCGGGTCGGGGTGGCTGGTGACCAGTCAAGGCAATGTGCTAAGCCGACAGGGTCGGGGTGACCGGTCAAGGCAATGAGGTATGCCAACCAAGCTGGGGGCGACCGATCGACGAAATTGAACGTAGAGGCATGACCCACAACGGTGATCTAGAGGTTGTAGAGGCATGACCACGAAAGGTAGGTTCAGGGGCCATAGAGGCATGAACAACAACGGTGATCAAGAGGCTATAGAGGCATGACCATGAAAGGTAGGTCCAGGGGCCTTAGAGGCATGAACCACAACGGTGATCCAGAGGTCATAGAGGTATGACCACGGAAGGTAGGTCCAGATGTCATAGAGACATGACCACGAAAATGTTCAAAGTAATAAGACTTTGAATATTTTTTACTACATTGATGAGGACAATGGTAGAGTCTTATGCCTCTCTTTGAGAGGTAGGTAGGTTGGCTAGAGAGTCGCCTATTGCTTTGGCAAGGAATGCCATAGGACCTTACATCGCTCTTTAAGCGCTAACATGTTGAATATATCGAGAAGGAATGTTGGCGGGCTTTATATCGTGCTTGAGAGCTAGTTCGCATTGATCAATTAGGAAGGAGAGTCAAGCAACTCCAATCCTTTCTGTAAACTGACCAAAACACACAACCTCAACACCCACTCTATGTCTATGATGAATGTGAAAAGCCAGAGACGTGGCATAACTCATCTGTTATATGTATAAAGCTAAGGATGTCAATAGACGAGACACTCTCGTGAAAGAACCGACCTAGAAGTCGTATGGTTCGAGAAACATCATAGTCGAATGGTTGAGGGGCCAAAAGCCAGAGACGTCAACCAGGAAAAAAATGCGCACGACTTATATTCAGCCTGAAAAAGTGGTCTGGAGGCCGAAGAGGCGTGTCTCAAAGGTGAGTTCAGAGGTCGCAGAGGCATGGCTCAAAAGACGAGTCCAGGGGCCGTAGAGGCGTGGCTCGACAACTGGGTTCAGATGCTGTAGAGGCTTGGCCCGAAAGGTGAAATTAGAGGCCGCAGGGGCATAACTCATCCTAAAATGTGACGAAGCCTTAAATACCTATTATGGTAAGGAGAAACATCGAGGGATTTACATTCATCCTTAGAGATACGCAAAGTAAAAGTGAAGAATATTTTAATTTAAAGTGAAGAAATAGGTAAAAATAGTGGTATATCTAATATTCATAGAGCCGGTAACATATAAAGTTGATTTACATTCATCCTTAGAGATACGCAAACTAAAAGTGAAGAATTTTTAATTTAAAGTGAAGAAATAGGTAAAATTAGTGGTATATCTAATATTCATAGAGCCGGTAACATATAAAGTTAACGACAAAATCACATATGTTTAAGAATGTAAGCAATTAATCAGAGCACGCTCGCACTTTGGACGATAAATATATAAACCACCAACAAGCTTTAACATAACTTAGTAGACATAGATCCAAGGAAAAGCTCCTTGGATATGACCAAGTTTTAATAATGTTCAAATGAAACTTTGAACTAAGATTTGAATAATAAGCAACTCAAACCAATTTGACGTAAACAATCAAAGATATTTTGAGGATATTACTTTCAATTTTGACATTTTTGAGTCATATAGAGTTAAATTTTCTTAGCCTCTCAATTTCCGTTGTAACTTTTTAGCAAAATCAAGGCCATACTCCTGCACACATTTACATATCTTATGACATCAAACCTCTAATCAATGTTTAGCATATGGGATTATATATTATTGTTATTATTATTATTATTATTATATAATCCAATTGAGATCTTACAAATACAGCTTAAAAAAATTACTAATTATAAAATTAAAATCAATATGCATGCCTACGTTAAATATAATATAATCTCATATCATATAAATATATGTGTAATATAATAATAATAATTCCAAAAATTTGCATACACACCAAGTTTTTATGCATTTATATATCTAAGAAACTTTAATTTTTTACTTTTGAAACACCTTTACTTGTATGAGAAAAGGTGGATGTGGTTGTAAAAATCAGATTTTACGTGTAAGATGTGTGTGAGATGTGTGAATGCATAAGAATTGGGTGCTATGTGTAAATTCCCCTATTATTATTATGAACAATAAATTTTATTTTTTTTTGAAAGGAAATCCATATTTAGAGAGGCCTAAATATCAATTTCTCATGCACAATCTGGCCTCATGATGAGAGCTTGCGCCATGTGCCTATAATTCGACCCCTCACGCATCACAGTAGGGATTGAACCCTTGCCAGAGGGGACTTACGGTGACCCTGCCTACGAACTTGACAAGGAATGCGGCACTCATTATGAACAATTATATTTTTGCAGCAAAATAAATTATTTACAACATAAAAGTTATATCATTCCTGCATTTTAATTCAATTTTTTTCAGTACATCTATATATCAAAACAAATAATTTCACAACATTTAAAAGAAAATTAATCATAGTTGAACAATAATTTCACAGCATTCAAACAACAATTCGGACAGCTTAGATTACGATCATTAATGGCTCGCATTTCAATCTAAATCATCATTAATTTCAGTGTAATCCTCAACATTAGTAACTGCATTTGATCTTGAAGCTGCACGAATTTCATCTATTTCAATGCGAAGTAAGGGATCACAGATCACTCTTCCTTCTCGCAAGGACTTTGGACACCCTGTAAAAACACAAGAAATCGGCCCAAAACACAAAAAAAAATATTCCTTTCGGAGTCGGGACATAAGCTATGTCCAAACAACAGTTGCGATTTACGAGAGGTCATTTTTTTTTTCCTCCTCCGCTCCTTCAGTTGGATCGCAACCATTGTCCTAGCACAGCTTACATTTGGACTCCGGACACACACACGCATATAGAAAAAAAAAATATTAGATACGGCGGACTTTGGATGCATCCAAATTCAAATGGCGGGCACCACATCTCAAGTGGGCCCCAACGCTTTAAGTATTGACCAATGTCAGTGTATTACGATGGGACTCACTTGACACATGGTGCCCCACCATTAGACTCTCCTAATGTAATATTTTCTCCAGAGAGAGAGAGAGAGAGAGAGATTTAACATATGCAAAATAATTGATTCACCTGCAACAGGACATAGAGCTTGCGGTTTAGTTCTAATATAATGCATTATTGGATCCTTCTCATATATGTGCTTGCAGTCCACACTGAAAAACATGCCAACATGAAAGGAAAAGGTCAAAGGAGAAGCGATAATATGATAATAAAATGTAAGTCAGGCCAAACTTAAAATTGATATCCATTTCTTACTTCGTGATATTACATCCTGCTTTCATAATGACATCGACGACGACATCGACATCTGCCCTTTTTCTTATTTCGTGTTGATTTATTTTGAAAGCTAGTTTGATTTGATTAAAAAAAAGAAATGCAATATAGTTTATATGTAGAATATTTGAAATGTGTTATAATTACTTTGATAAAATAAATGCAAAAAATTACATTTTGTGTTTGGTTTGAAAAAAAAAATCAATATAAAATCCAATAGCAACAACAATCAAAAGGTGGTAGGCAGTCGACAGCCGGCAATCGAAGGTGGGTGTGCCAGTTGTGGTTTGCAGTGGCACGCTACAATAACTTCTGAGATGTATTTGGAAATCAAACAAATAGGCCAATTTTCAAACACAACTAATTTGAATAATGGGGTTCTTTGATTTGCTAAAAAAAAATTTTATGATAATTTGAAATCAGATAATTTTTTTTAACGGCTTAAAATGTACTTCAATTTTTGCACCCCTCAGAATTTGATCAAAGTAATTTTATAAAATTCAACAGGTTAAAACTATCAATTCAATATATAGCACTATATGTAAAATATAAATAGAATTGGAGATATAAAATTTATAAGATATTGAGTTAATTAATATAATTAAATGTTAGTTAAACTTAAACCCCTCCCTAATCCAGCTTCACCATCACCACCGATCTACCCACGCGATATTTACCTCTAGGATGTGTCGAATGAGAGGGATCCTCTCCAAAGCCTTCAATTTACTCTTCCATTTCTCGATTTCAGCGCACGAAACACCTCCTTGTTCTCAGTTGTGCTCGACAGAGGGCTCCCGCGAGAAGGCTTCAATCACGACACTATAACACATGTGTGATCGCAAAGCAGCCACAGCCGCAAGTAGCCACCTAAATCTAATGGTATGAAACCCTCTTTCATGTTACTTGAGACATTTAATTCCTTCCTCCTACATCCATTTTAACGCTTGCCACGAATTGTATATCCTTTTCGTTTCGGTCATCATAGCGAAGTCCATATTGTGTCAGAAGCGAAGAAATTAGTTTGTGGATTTCCTTAAGGGCTTCTAGCACGAAATCAACAAGGTAAAGGGAGAAATAAGCCAAAATAAAAAAGCAGGGAGAAAGAATAAACAGTTTCGGAGAAAGGTTGCTTGTCGAGAAGCTCATTTAAAATAAGAAAAATATGTTTTGGTTAAATCACTTTGAGTCAAGATATTATGAAGTCCTAAGATATTTACGAATTTCAGCTATTTACCCGATGCGGCAAGCTCGAAACAAACGTGTAGAGCTAGTCGTAAGGCAGCTCTGTAAATTCAAGTGAATTATCTTATGTTAACTTAAGAAGAATAATTCAATTAACAAAAATTGCTTGAATCTTCAAGTTTGAATTGTGTTCTATATGTTATTAAGATCAACATAAAAGTTATCGGGATATTCAGCTAGTTACTGAAGATTGTGAATCTAATGTGACAACTGAGGTAAGTAATTATATTTCTAAATTCCAGCATTTTCTTTATTTCAAAATTTATGTTTGACTCCATGAATGCTCTAGTTTAGTTAGATCATTCATATTATTAAATTAAAAAGATATGCATGATAAATACGAAAGGAAAAGATGTTCGTAATATGAAAGATATGCATGCTATAAGAGATATAAATGATATGAAAGATATAAATGATATAATAGATATGCATGAGAGAATAGATATGAATAATATGAGAGATGTAATGATGATTAGTTGCAAGGCAGAGTAAGCATGTTAGTAGATGAATGAAGCAATCTCAAAATAATATATGTTATGAAAAATAAAATAACTTATATATGAATGCATGAATGCTTATATGATTGTATGTGCATATTAAGAGCAGTTTACCCCCTAATAGCACAATCAGGGGGCGTCGGTGTATTTGCATCTATAGTTTTTCCACCCCAGATAATTGGGATATTTAGATCACTAACCGTTATAACAATAAAAGAATATCAGCCAGAGGTGACTGAGGACATTTCTACCTTAGATAATTGTGATGTTTAGATCGCTCACTGTGTCAATGAAATAATATCGATCAGAAGTGTGTTAGGTTTTGCTAACGATGATCCTTAAAGAGACATATATGAATGTAATGAGTATAAAGTAAAAGTAAAGTTAAGGTAAATGCATATAGAGAATCTGAGTTTTATCATTGACTAAAGATCATTGATAAATGCATTAGTATATTAAAAAATTTGTTATAGAAAAATCAAAGATTAGCATATTCCAAAATTTCTTATAGAGATATGAAAGATTAACATGGATATTGATTTCTTTCTGTTGAGTTACTAAAATTTAGAAATATAATTACTTTCGAGTTATCTTTAGAAAACTCATTGTTTTGTTATAATATTTTTAAAAGTTTTTAACTTTTGAATAATATGAACAGAAGATGAGCTAATGTGTATAGGGGCCAAGAATAACAACTGAAAATGTACTAATTTCTACTTGTTGATTATTTTTTTTTTCTTTAGTAATTGTTTCATGAATATTTAAACATTAAATTGTTAGTAAAAGAAATATAATAACAAAGAATTTATTTTCACCAACTGATCATTCGTTCTCTTCTTGGTTAATTACAAGCCCCGGGTCAGGTCGTAATAGAAATTCATTATAAAAGTAATATATTATAGGGGTACTTAAATACAAACTGCCCAATTTTTATCTATTCACCTATCTAAAACTTAGGCTTTACTTTTTACATTTATAACACACCCAAAATTTTCATATCAATCACATATAAAATATCACCATGTTAGCTTATATATCGAAACTAGTAAGGGAAATAGTGGAAACACAAAGAATAAGCTTTCATTAATATTAAAATAGAGTTACAACATAACTCGAACAGAAAATAGCAACACAAATAAAAAACACACTAACAATACTTCTAAATGTATTCCAATGTGTGATGGACATTGGTGAGGTGGGTCAGGATGGCTAGCGGGGGTGGTGATAGCAACAGGGAGTTGGTAGCAGCGAGGGGAAGGTAATGAACTAAAGGGACAGCAACTGAGAATGGTTGTGAGTAGTCGACAGTGATGGTGTGATGGTTAAGAGAAACTTGAAGTGGTAAGCGGTTAAGATGAGTGAAAGAGATAGGTTGGGAAGAATAAAAAGGGAATATACAATCACCACCGTGGAGGGGATACAGCCGGAGCACCATTACCTCCTCGAATACAACCCATAAAAGGGAAAGCGACTCCACACAAGAGACCTGAAACTAAACACAATCAGAACTGACTCCCTACATACTTAAGACATCAATTTATAGGCTAAAAAGAAACTTATACACAAAAAAGGCGAGAAGAATCCAAAAAAGTCCTTTCCGAAACTCCTACAAGCGTCGCCCTCCCCTCGGTTCGCGAGAGATAGCAGGATATCATGAGAGAATCGTGATCCCCGCCTTGTCTACAGCACCCATGAAGAATTGCAGGTCTTCACGAGTCACGGGACTTCTCCCGTTGTTGCGGGTCTGCAGACCTCCATTCCGCGGAAATGAAGCGCCAGACGCCCAATTGGGGGCATTGAATTGGGAGCTTCCAACGCCCCCAATCAAGCGCCCAAGCGCCTGCGTCATTAACTTTCAAAAAATAAAATACATATTTTCATGCATAAGATAACATGCAGGTAAAGATTGAAGTTTAGGTGTTTTAAATATATAAATAAATTGAAATTGAGTGGTATGTATGTAAATCTTCCTATATTGTATTTAGAATACTATGAAGATGTTTTGGTTCATAATGTAAAATAAATGCGGTAGTTTATATTTTTTTAGTTCGGTTTTAAGAAAAAAAGAAATCAATATAAAAAATGTAGCAGGTGATGTTAGGCGGAAGGTAATTACGGAATCCGGCAGAGGAGTAATGCAAGGCAACAATATAACCCCTAAGAAAATATCAACTATAGCTTGTAGGAGGCAAAGCGGAACAATAAGAAGAATGAAACAGAATGAGATGGGAGCAATGTTACCATCGGACAGGATTTTGAAGTTCAACAATTGGTTTTCCAGTTAACGGACAAGTCATATTTAACAACACATTCTGAGTACTGGTCATGACAATATCTTCCTGCTCTTCACCGGGCATTGGTTGACCCTCATGGTGAACATTCTGTACATGAAAAAAAAAAAAAACAAAACAAAATTCATTTCAATATATAATCATATGGTACCCAACTAACAATAAGGTAAAATAAATAAATAAACAGAGTACACGACTAGACATTCCACACACGTACTTCAATAGGCTAAATTTCACTTTGCTTTTCTATAATGATCAAGGTTTGCGCTTTCTTATCATAGGAATTTATCAAAATAAAAAGTTTATTATAATGTGATATAATTTTTTAATTGAGAATATTCATATTATTAAAATTTTCCTCATCTCTCGTACTTGTGAGTATGACAACAGTACTATTTGAAATAAATCAAATTCTCTACCCCAAAACACTCAAATTCCCAAAAATCTAAAACTTTGGAAAGTGGGCCACAATATTCTGAAACTCAGCAAGAAAGAATCCTATCATAGAAAACACCATCACTTAGGGTCTTTTTGGGGCAACTGCAGCTTTTTCAGCTTATCCAGATAAGCTGTTGAACAGCTAGTTATCCTGATAAACTAGTTGATTGTTCGATTTGTGTGTTCGAAAAATAGTTGATTTGCAGTTGTTTCCAGATAAATGACAATTCTGCTCCTGACCTGGATATTTTTTCTCAGTCCTATCAAACATATGTTTCGGGAATTTAAGATCCTATTTTCTTAATAAATATCAATATAGTTCCTAATCGATTAAATTTAAGATTTATACAAACCCATCATTAAATAGATTAAATGAATTTAACAATTTCTCGTTCTCATGAATTTTCATCCTGAAACTAATAGTTGAACGAACATACAGGATTTAGCAAGACATTATAATTTTCAAGCCAGTTTTTCAGTTTTAAACTTCTCAAGATTTGTTGAATCTGGATTCCCTGGATTTACTGAATCCTACTAGAGTTAAACAGTACTGGTAGCCAAACAGTGCATTAAAATCATTTGAGTTCAAGCAGCTTCTGATAAGCTTTGATAAGCACATTGATCCGTTAAAGAATCAATTTTTGCACAAAAAATCCTCCTATGTAATCAGAACAATAACTCGCTTTCAATCCATTAAAATCAATTACGCATCGAAATGAAATGTCAAAGAATAAAACCTTAAAAAAGAGGTGCAATCTTCGGGTGAAGACCCAAGATGATGAACGAAGAACTGCAAATCGAAGCAAAAAGAGAGGTAAACACTGACAAAACCATTTCGCAAAGTCGCTCGGCTCTCCAATGGGGATCCCACCATCGCTGCTCCCCTTGACCGCCGCCACCACCACCTCTTCGGCCACTGACGCTGCCACCTCTTCCTCGGCCTCCGTCAACACTGACACCGCGTCGGCCACCCTAGTAATTCAGGCGATACGACGTGCAGACGTGTGAGCGGAGATCTTCAATCGCAAGTAAATGGCGGCAATCGAAAGGGTAGCGGGTTAACCGCGTCAAATTTTTTTGTGAAACGCAGGCTGCGGGACGAACCCTGCGGCCTGCGTTTAACTTAAAACAAGTAATTGCATTTTCAGATAATCTGCCCAACGCATTTTTCAAACTGAGGCGAAACGCCGTCGCTACTGATAAGCTGCCCCAAACGGGCCCTTAAGCTTCCAGTTTTATAAGTTTAAGCACGAATTAGAAATGTATATAACTGTTGAACCTAAAACATGTGCCAGAACTAACAAACTAATCAAAAATTGAGTTTTTACTACTGTCAAGAGAGTTCCTTAAAAGTGGCTTGACGAGACCTAACCTAGTTATGAACTTTTGGTTTGCTAAGATATCCCTAATAAAGGATCCATGCAACACAGATTAACCCAATTATGATGAACGTGATAAAAAAAATGCTATGATTGGCCAGTACAGCATCTAAAAGAAAAATGTCAAAAAATTTAAGCGGACTGTGGTTAAAAGTAAATGAAGATTGATTAGGACTAAAACTAAAATTAGATCTGTTATAAACAAATTTAGAAATTTAAAAGGAAACTCAAGAAAAATAGAGAACAATGTGAGTCTATGCAAGGTTTGTCAGTAAGGAACTAAATGAAAAGAGAGAAAACACAAGGGCGTTTGGCAAAATTCATTAGTTACGCTATGTTGAACTACTAACAATAGAAAGAAGGTTAAGGTAATAATCAATAAATAAAAGTTTTGAAAATCAAACCGAGCGTCGAACTTTCAAAGGTTCAATATTCAAATGTTCAACCAGGGTATACAAAGGATAAAAGGTTCAATATTCAAATGTTCAACCAGGGTATAACAAACATTCAAAACATTTAAATAAAGTTAAAATAGTGTAATAATTATATAATCTATATATTAAATTTCTTAATTAATTAATTAATTATATATATATATAGAAATATAAATAAGTTTATAATATGTTTTAACAATTATTGCAACACAATTCTTACAGCTCAACCCGATTTTCATAGCATGACCCAACCCAATTTTCATAGACTGACCCAACAAAACTTTTATAGCCCAACCCATCGCTTCATTCCTATGACATAACTCAAGTAGTCCTATATCCTGGATTGTAAACTTTAAATTAGACAAAAAGGATGAGCTTTCAGCCCACTTAACTGGCGAGCATATTGGTCTCAATATGCATGTTGATTTGATTTTTTTTTTAATCTTGCATGAGAACTTAAAGAAAGTAAAATTAAAATTAAAAATATTGTAATTTAAGCTTACTAAACTTGCATACAACAAATTAAACCATAGATTTAGATCATTGATTAATATTAATCAAAAGCTCAAAATTTTTTTACAAAACTTGAACAACTTCAGACCGGTACCGGTTCGTCGGTTGAACCACCGGTTTGTCAAAATTCTAGAAGGTTCCATGCATCAAACAATTTTTGAATGAACCAAAACCGGACCTATACCGGTTCACTGTCAAACCAACTAGTTTGGTCCGATTTTCAAAATCATGCAATAAATAGTTGAATTATAAAATTGCTAAAGTAAATATGATTAATGATATAGCGATTATTATAAAATGATTAGTAAAGAAAATATTATAAAAATGATTAGCGTTTATGCTTTCCAAATTGAATTAAATGATAATTCAAAAAATTGATTTTGTAAGAAATAAATAAACTACTACAATGTATATCCAAGAAAAACAGAATATTTAACGGGAGTAAATTAAACGTCACACAGGTTCTAAATAAAGGCAATAAGAAAATTCATGTTGGTTAAGGAATTGAAAATAAAATTTAACGAGAAACTATATTTAATTTCATGGTAATCCATGATCATATAATAATAAGCACATATAATACTTTTTAGTTTAAAAAATAGAATTATCAGATCACAAATAGATCATTTTTACTGGGAAGGAAATGTTGTAACTTTTTGTAAAGCTTATTAGGAGATTCCAAAAAAGAGTTTAACCGCAAAACATAAACTATTTATTATGGATGTATAGTGTGGGGGTATAAATAAAAAAAATTCAAAATAAATGAATGGCCTAGGATACGGTGATAAACTTTGAAAGATAAGAATTTGTTAATCATTTAAGCTTTGTCGGTAAAAAGGACAAATTAGATTTCTTGGATGAGTAAAACTTTATGAGGGCTAAAAAAATGAGTTCTATTAAGAATATTATCATCAAAGCTTTTCAAAAATTAAGAAATAAATTGTGCAATTGTAAATTTGGCGACGAAGTGAGAAGGTACAACATGTTGATTTAAACAATGACAAATTAAATTCAACTGATGCATATAATACATATAAGAAAGAAAACCTACAAAGTAAAGGATATAACTTTTGATAATTTATTTATAGATCTAGAATTAACAAATGAGAAAAGATATATAAAATAGCTAAGGTACGATAAAGAGATTTAGAGATTTAAATTAATTTAGATCATTAAAAGTAAAAATAATAGAAACTTAAAAGAAAAGTTATAAAGGAAATATGAAAATGCTATTTTGAAATTGATTAAATGAGATTTTTAGATAAGAGTTTTTTTAAGGAGCATAATGAACAAATAAAAAATGTATAATATAGATAGCTCCGAAAAAGCGTAATAGAAGTTGGCTATAAAGAAGATGTATAAAGATAATCATTCAAGTAAAAGGAGATATCTATTGAGATTTAAAGAGTTATGAGAGATTTGCAATAGTTTGACTAATAATTTTTTTTAATTAATTTTTTAAGACCAAGAAGTTTTCAATTGATTGTGAAGAAATATTTCAGTACCAAAATTTATAAATTAAAAGGGAGATGCTAGATTTCAACAATAACATAGAAATTAAACTTATGGGCCATATCATGAAGTAAAGAAGAGGTAAAAGAGCATATACTCTGAAAAGTTAACTTAGTTTTAGAGTATTAATTTGGTTTTATGCCATGAAGATCAATTTTAGAATAAATTTTTGTACGTTTTGAAAAAAATGAATAATTTCAAAATGTTTTATTGAGAGGTTTGATGAAGTACATAGAGAGTAAGGAGGATCAACATATGATTTTTATTGATTTAGAAAAAACTTATGATAAGATTCCAAGAGAAGTACTTTGGAGAGTTCTAGAGAAAAAAAATGTTGATATGACTTATATTTATGTCATTAAAAATATGTATACTAGAGTTGTTACTTGTGTTCGAACATGAGGATTGACCAAGTATTTTCCTATTTTAGTTATGGATTACATCAGCGATCGGTTTTAAGCCCATATCTTTTTGCTTTAGTTATGGATGCTTTTACTGCAAAGTTACACGAGGATGTGCATTGGTGTATGCTCTTTGTTGATGATATCCTTCTTGTGGAGAAGAATAGAGAAAGAGTTCGGGAAAGACTTGAATTATGGAGGTCTACATTGAAATCTAAAGGTTTTTGTTTAAGTAGATCTAAAACTGAATACATTAAATGTAAGTTTAGTAGTAGTAGCTCTAGTGGTAGAGTTGTAACTATGGATGATTGAATCATTAAAAGGTGTGAACGTATTAGATATCTCGAGTCTATTGTTCAAAGTGATGGTGATAAAGATGAGGATGTATTAGTAAAATTCAAGTTGGTTGGTTG